TCTGAGGATGACTGTGAGCCTGTCAGAGAATCCCAACGCTGTGGAGCCATTTCACCTCTGGACGCTGGAGGCAGAGTGTGGCTTTTGGCTGAAAGCAACCCCTGTCCCTCCAAGAATTCAGTATTTTTCTCTCCATCCATCCACCCATGCAGCTGGCTGCGTTTTGGAGGGCATCTCCAGTACCCTCAGCAGGGTACTGAAGCAGGGTGGCAGGACAGGACCAGGCAGATGAGTGAAGCTGTGAGGACGGGGAAGGGAGAGCTCCACGTTTTTCACTGGGGGCCAGTGCAAATGGTACAGCACCCTGATCTGCTCTTCTTGCCCAGCAGGACCCCCTCTCCAGGCTGGGCTGTCCCCCTCAGCCCTCTTCTTGTCCCCCACAATCTCCAAGAGGGTATGAAAGTCTGGTCATCCAACAGCAAGGGCCCAGGGAGAAGGTCCATTGGAAAACGTGCTGGGGGCTGCTTTGTCCAGGGGAGGTTTTTGGGGATGCTGAGGGAGGAGGGGGTCTGATGAATGTGCCAGGCTGTCCGTCTGCTCCAGTCCCTGCACCTCCTCAGTGCAGGAGGTTGCTCTTTAATTCCCTCTTTCCTCCCCTAAGCGCCTTAGGGAGCAGGGGCGAGAGATGCTGGTGCTTTTTATAGCAGCCATAATCCTCGCTGCTCACGCCGCCTGCACCCTCCTGCCCCGAGACCCGGGGCTGAGCCTCCAAAACGGGGGCTGCTGCCCAAAAAATGCCTTGAACCCCTTCAGTTCCCAGCATCACCTCTCTCCCAGCTCAGAGATTCCAGCTGGGGCTGGCCCTGGATCAAGACCCCTTTGCAGAAGGCATTGGATGGCCACAAGTGCTGCAATCCCCTCCCAGTCTAAGCACTCTGCTGAGGAGGGACAGGGAGACAGACGTACAGAGACACATGCATGAGCACCAGAGCAACTGCTTGGCCTCCCTTCTCTCCTCCAAAACTTGTGGAGCTGGAACCAACCCCATGGCACAGACACAAGAAAGTCCTCAAGAGCAAGAGGAGCTGGGAGGGCTGGGGGTTTCTTTCCTTTTTAATGCCCCCGTCTTTACATATGGGAAACTGAGGCAGGGAGGGAGCAGGGAACGGACTTCTGGCCCTTCAGCTCAGGAGGAGAGCCCTTTGCAAGGCAGCTGATGAGCTTTAAAGGCTGATGAAGCTCCACACTTGGATGTAACCCCCAAGACATGAGCTTCAGCATTTAATCGGGGTCATTTTGGTGCTGAGGTGGCTGGTTTCCCTTACTCAGCCTGTGCCCACAAAGCCAAGGGTGGCATTTGGGCCATCCAGGCTTCATCCCTGGGGAAGAAGGGGACAGAGAAAAGGGATGTGAAATGGGGCAGCAGGAGGTTTAGTGGGGCAGAAGCAAGTCTTGAGAGAGGCATATTTCACTTCCTGTCCCTGTCCTGGCGGTCAGTGCTGTCCCTCCACCCAGCCCCAGCCCCTGTCACCACCCCAGGACCACAGCCATCAAGGGGGGACAGTGAGTGCTGCAGCTGCTGTGTTTCCATTGCCTTTTCTCTCTCCAGCAGCCGAGCTTTTTTCTCTCCAGCCAAAAGTCCCCCCAACTCTGCACGCTGCCAGGAGGAACCCAACACATCTCTTAACATTTTACTGTTTCTCTTTTACTGCCTACTGTTGGGTAGATTAAATTTTGTCTGCCCACCCACCCCAGACCAGAGGGTCTTGCAGGAGAGGGCAGCCTGGCAAATCCTGCCTAAAACCATTCCAACCTTGCCCACACCACTTTGCCCTCCTGCAGGTTTGGCCCCTGTCTCCCACAGCCTCTTTGCAACACATTTGCTGTAATTTTCCCTTTAAACACCCCATGGGGGAAAAAAAAAACAACCCAGGGGGTTTCTTCTAGGTCAGGCTGAGCTAAGACAGGGAAAGAAGATTAATTTCTCAGACGAGCAATTCATATTTTTCTTCTGGTCCCCACAGAGTGCAGAGCTGGTAGCAGGAGCACACACATCTCTTGGGCCCACGCAACTTTTGGTGCCACTCCTGGAAGTCCCCAGGTCCAATTCCTATGTGGGAGGTGTAGGGGCACTCTTGCCAAGCGATGGGTCGTGTAAGTGGGAAGAAGGTGCCACATCGGAGATGCTGATGGGTCAGGGTGGGTGCCCAGCCCCCAGGGAGGAGGAAGGGAAGAGCTGTGTCACCATTCCTTCCTGGCACCCTGGCTGGGCTGGAAGCAGGGTGCAGGCAGGGAATGAGGCCCTGAGCCTGTCCTTGTCACCCACCCATGCCCACACACCCATGAGGCCCTGAGCAGTCACGACTGTTTTTCACTCCCAAGGAGTGCCGGGAAGCTCTGAAGCCAGAGGATTAGTCTCCAAAGCAAAGGCCTGGCCTCCTGCCAGCCCCCAGCGGGGAACAAACAGCTTGGGAAGGCACTTCCCTAAGGCTCAGCTCGTTCCTGGCTCAACCTCTGACTTTTCTACCCTTGTTTGCCAGCCTCACAGTCACTCAGCTGTGGATACCAAGAATCTCAGTAGGGGGTTTCCACAGGTGGGGAGGAGGCAGGAGGTTATCAGGAGACCCCCACCCGGTGCCTGAGCTGCCCTGGGCAGTCATAGTATCCCCTGTGAGGTTCAGCAGAAGACAGGCACTGAGGGGGATGTCTCTCCCTTCTCCTCTTTGCACAGAATTTCAAGGAAGTTCCCACCTCTGGAGACCTGTGATCCTGGGACTGTGGGAAGGAAAAGCTGGACACCATCTGGAAACTCAGGACACAGGAATCTTACACTGGGCTGACTTATCCCAGCACTAGGGAGTCCCAGGCACAGAATGGGGAGCAGGCTGGGCGAGGGGTGCTGGCAGGAGGAGAGCTGGGTGATGGGGACAGCTGGGTGCCATGTCCCAAAGGACTGGGACTGAATGTTGTCCTGGAGGTGCCTTTGGCATCATGAGAATCTCCCTAGGGATCTGGGGATCAACACTTCTCCACAACCAGCACCAACACTTCAGCTTTGGCCAGGAGACCATCCCCACTGCCAAAACAGGGCAGGCTGAGAGCAGGGCTTAGGGCAATACTAGCCCTTCCCAACCCATTTGTTGGCCTTTCCTGCCCCACACTGTCTGCAGTGGGTCAGGCAGCACAAGCCCAGGGCTCTGCTCGCAGTGCTGCTCCCTGGCAAGGGTTACAGAGAACTGTGGGGTGCAGGGGACCTGGGCAGGGAACAGCACAAAGGTCAACAGGGAGCATCCATCTCCTGGTAAGAGGAGGGTAGAAGTGCTGGGATCCAGCCCCACAGGCTGTGCTCGCACCCATTCCCCACACCAGTGAGCCCACGGGGTTGTGTGGGGCCACAGGGCTGCCAGACCAAAGGCCACGGTGTTTGGCAGAGGGGCCAAGAACCCCAAGACCAACGAGGGTTGTTTTGGCCATCCACCTTCCGTCCGTGGGGACCCCGCTATTTTTCCCCTGGGAAAAGGTTATTTTCACGCCTCCTCCCCACAGGAACCAACAGAAATCACTTAGCTGGCTGCAGCACTCCGGGGACAGGCCCTTTCGGAGCTGAGCCGCAGGGAGGGGAAAGCCCAGGGGAAATTTTAATAACAAGCAAGGAGTGCTATTGAAGTGTTTTACTGCCTCGTTAAGGCAGTCTAATCTCCGTGTATATCTTGAAAAAAAATTGGCTTGCTGGTGTTTTTCTTGTAAAAGAGGTGGGTGTTTTCTGGCATGGCTGGGATCCTGCCTGCTTTATCTGCTTGTTTTCTTACCTGATACCGGCAATGAACAGCCCAAGAGCAGCCCAAGGGCAGCAGCAGGCAGAGTCAGGGCCAGGCAAACCAGGAGAAAGGCTGTGGATCCATGCTGTGGGCTGTTTCCAGCCCATGGGTGCTCTGCACCCTGTTGCTGCACCCACCTTTCAGTAAGATGCAGGTCCCTGGGGTGTTCCACCGGAGTGGGTTTGGGACATGTTGGCTCTGCCTGCGCCTGGGCAAAGCCCGGAGGGGGTGACCCCTTATCCAGGCAGCCCAGAGGCAGAGCAAGGGATGGCAGGAAAACCGTGAGGTCCCATCCACTCCTCCAGCTTCAAGGGCTGGGATTTGGGGGATACACAGATTTTGGGACTGTGGGCACCTTGAACTGATGTAAGCCAGACTGGGGAGTCCCAGCAAAAGTTCCTCTGAGGCGATACAGAGCTGTCTGACTGCTGAGGTCTAGATTTGGAAGAGGAATGGGCTGGGCATTTTATTTCTAAGGTTTTCTTCATTATTCTATTTTTTACCTCAGCCCAGCAGAAAACTGGGAAATCCTGCTGAGTTCTGCTGGCTCCAGCAGCCAATTCCCCATTTGCAAAAGCTCACAGTGTCAAAGCCGTGAGCCGGAAGGGATGCTGAGGCTGGGATGGCAGGCCCGGATAATCCGATTGCGTTTGCTTTGGAAAAGCTGATGTTTGCATGAGCACCGGCTCTTGGGGTTTTAAAGTGATCCACCCAGGAGCAAATCCCAACAGCCTGATATCAGAGCTGTGCTGCTCCCGCCCCAGCTGGGCTGGAGAAGTCTCTGCTCTACACCCAGATCCACGCTGCACTTCCTGGGGACAGGAGGCCACAGGAGCCAAGGCTGCCACTGCAGAACACAGGGAAGCAAACAGAGACTCCAGCACAGCTCATAGGGCTGGCAAACACCTAAACAGATCTTCCTTGGAAATCTGGGGCAGGAGGGGTGAAGCTGATGTTTGTAGCTGGACATATAGTTCAGCTGAGATCAAAACAGTCTCACCAGCATGTTGCTCCCAGCAGATGTGTGCTGGTACCCAGCTGCTTCAGGAAGCATGACTTTTATGTGTCACCACCCCGATGTGAGAAGGAAAAAATCCCCAGACACTTGCTCTGTGCCTGTTTCAGGACTGGGACTAAACCTGCCCTCCTGCAGGCCTGCCAGTGGCTCCAGGGTGTTCCAGCCCAGAGCCTCTCCCCTTCCTCTAGAAACACCCATAAGCTCAGCAAAGCACCGACAGCGTGGCCTGGGAGAAACACTAACATTTATTAGGCCAGATATTTTTTGTTGAGAATGATTTTAACAGCACTGGAGGACTTACCCCGTCTCCCCCGGGGACCCTCAGCTGATGCATTGCATGCAGGGTTAGAAGGAAAGCAGGGGACAGCCAGCCTTGGGGGACATGGTGGGTCGGTGTCAGCAGCAGAGCTACCCAGGGAGCTCGCAGGCAACAGCAAGCCAAGCACAGCTGCTCCAGGGCAGGCAGACGGGTGCTTGCATAGGGCAATCCAGTCCCAGTTTGCTGGGATTCCCCCAAGTCCTCAGCAGGTGCCATCTCTGGGAATTCTGGATGTTGTCCTGCTCTCCATGTCCATCGGGGAAGTTCCATCTGCAGGGGAAGGGAGGGTGCTCGGGGGTCTCAGCACAGAGGGCAGTTTCCACTGAAGGTGCTGCTTCAGAGACACCAATCTGAACCTGTTGTGCAGCCAAACACCTTCATAACCATGGCCAGCTCACATCTCGCATCTAGAAAGAGTCACAGCCAGGTCTGCCCTCTCTTAGTTTCCCACTGACATCATGAGGTGATGTCCACTCTCCTCTGATGACCACCCTGGCAAGGAAAGATCCAAGCTGCGACCCATGCAGGCAAGGGAACAACAGCACCGTGGTGAGAGCAAAACCATCACAGCCCTTTTCTGGGGACAGATGTATCCACGGGTTCTGAAGTCAGGACACTCCAGAAGAGTGGAAGAGCCCAGCTCCTCGAAGCAGGATGCTTAGGTTCTTCCCTGCATTGTCTGGTGAAGGCAGCAGGTCCTGCCCAAGCTCTCACACAGCTCCAGCTGCAAGCCATGCTCTGCAAGCCAGCAAGGGGTGTGCTGGGAGGCGTGGTGGGTGGACAGCAAAAGGCACAGGCAGAAGCCAAGGCTAAAAAGACAGAGTTGATGTCTCTGGGGCAGGGCCACTGCAAATCTACCCCAGCCCAGGAGCCTCATGCTTCTGATTGCTGGTAGGAGGCAGAGACCTGGCAACATTCATCACACAGGTGGAGAAACCCAGCCTTCACCACCATCACAGTGCGTCAGGGAAAGCAGGAGCCTTTCTGAGCCTGAGCCCTGCAGGCTCTGCCAGGCTGCCCGTATGCTGCCACATCCTGGGGATTCTGCAGGACTGCTCCCAAGGTGGGAGACAGTCCAGAAACAAACTGGGAGAGCTGGATCTCCATTTCCCACCCAATGCTTTGCCGTTCTCGTGTCATCACGCTGGGAAGTCTGCGCTGTTGGACAGAGGCTGCCCAGCCCCCCTTCAGATTGGCTTCACAGAGGTGTTTAAACCAGGCAGGGCTTCACCTGCAGGGAAGGGGTTTTAGCATCCACCAATTGCTAGGGCCAAATTCCAGGTCAACTCTGCCCTGGATGGACACTGGCCTTGAAGATGATGACGGAAATGAGCAGATCCAGCAGGTCATGCCCTGCTGATGGTCCTGCCCCACACAGAGCATGCTGGTGCCACTAAGTTGTGGATGTGTGGGAGCGTCTCCTGTCCTCTCTGTGTAGTTATTTTGAGGAAAGGGTCCTCAGTTTTTGCAGACAAGAGGCTGAGGATTAGAGGGAGAGGTCCCAGGAGTCCCACTGTCCCAGGTTTCCCCACCACCACCATCAAGGACAACAGAGGAGTGTCCAGCCACCTGCAAGCACCACCCCAGAGCAAAGGATTAAATTTACCAGGACCCACCTCATCCTGCCTCTCCCAGAAATTTGCTGCAGGGCAGGCACCCTGTTCCTTATGGCTGCATCACCAAACAGTGTTGGAGCGATCAGAGGAACACCACCAAGCCAGCCTGTCCCCCCCTCTCCTGCCACTCCAACTCTCCCAAGCACAGACAAATCAAGCAGAATGGGCATTTGGGAGAGCTGGACTGGGAAGGCAAAGCCATGGGCTATAAGAATGTCACATCATCCTGAGACTGGAGCCAGCGCCAGTGGGCATCATACTCCAGGTGCAGTTTGCTGTTGAGTTTGCAGTTCTCAAAGTCAGCCTCAGCTTTCCGAGCCTTCCCACCCAGATTCCCCTTCCCCAGCCTCTCTCCAGCCCCCGATGGTGATTTGGTGTCTCTGCCTGGTTCCAGGGAGGGGGGCTGCTGGCCCAAATACCCGTTGGCCACCTGGGGCTCCTTAGCAAACCGGTGATCCGGGGGCAACCCAGGAGGGGAGAGGTCCACGTGGGGCCACTCGTGCTCGGCTTTGCCCTTCTCTTGCTTTGCAAGACCCCTCTCGGGGTCGATCCTGACCCAATCCTGCTCCGCCCTGGCCAGGGCTCTGCCCGATGTGGATGCAGCAGCAGTTTCAGCAGCGTTTTGGGAATACTCATCCATGTCATCGGCCAAGGTGTCCAGGTAGCTGCCGACGGAGATGCTGTCCAGCCTGTCGTTGGGGTCCTGCAGGCTGTCCCAGCTGCCCCGCCGCGAGGCCTCCTGGCTCTCCACCAGGCTGTACTGGCTGCTGGCCAGGCTGCTGCAGCGGCTGGTCAGGGTGCTCCGCTCCTCCAGCAGCCACTTCACCGCCTCGATGCCCTCATTCACCACCACCAGCTGCTGCAGGATCTTCACATCCACGGCTCGCAGGTAGGCCTGGAGGGGAGATAGAGAGCATGGGGGTTTTGAGGGGACCAAGGTGACCCCAGTGGCCAAGGGCCCCAAGTCCCAACCCACCCTGGCAGAGGTGTCACTGCAGCGGCCACAGGTCTCCTGAGCTGCTTGATGAAGAGCCCAGTATGGGAGAACACCCTGCAGGGAACCATCCCAGGGGATCCTGTCCAAGACCTGGGGACACAACCATCAGCAACCAGCTACTTATGATTCCCACCAGCCACCAACCCCCTCAGGGAAATAAATCCAGGGCATCTATGTCACTATCTCCTATGGGAACAGGGAGTAAGCAAGGAACTGGAGGTACTGGGTGCAGATCTGATCCCAGGGCATCCCGCAAGCCCTGGGAGGCTGCTATCAGGGCAAAAGGATCAAGCATGGATCAGGGCAAGGGTCTGGCTGGACCATCAGCACCTCCCCAGGCCGGTCCCTTCATGCCGGTACTTCTCTCCTTCCAGGGTCTGAACCAAGCCTGGTGACAAAGTTACACGGCAAGATTTGGAGACCCAAATCACTCCCAAAACGGGAGGACGAAGAGGACAGGCATTGCTGATCACAGCACTTGCCCTGCCGGCTCCTGCCCCTCCGAGCCTGGGGAAGCTCTTCGCAAACTTCATTTGCTGAAGAAACATCTGTTTTCCTAACGGAGAGCCCCGTGTGCCAAGACATTCCTGTCTGTATGATACTGGCCGCCAAAAGCCACTGGATTTCCCCTGCGCGGGACGCAAATATTTTGCCAGGAAAGGGAATAAGGCAACGACGGGGGGAAAGAGAGAAAAACCCACTGCAAGGCAGGTACAGGCAGCCTGGGAGCTGTGGATGCCCACAGACTCCTTCACAAACACATCCTGTCCCCAGCATCGGCAAGCTGAGACAGAAATCCAAGCCATCCCCTGGGATCACGTTTAAGCACAGTGCTTGGTCCCCAGCATCCGGTACCCTTGGAGTCACTCGCCCGCCCACGGGTGACCCGACAGTCTCTTGAGACCCCCGTCTCCGGTCCCACAGCAAGAGCAGCAACGAAAGCATCCAAGGAAGGAGCCTGGGAAAACTCCAGCCAGGATTTCGGCACGTGACACCTCTCACTCCAGACGACACAAAAAGAGGGTCAAAGACTTGTAAAAGACCTGACACCAAGCCCCCATCCCTCCCCCACGCCCCTCAAGGTGAATTTAAATAAAAAGTAGCAGCGATGTGCCCGGATTGGGGCAGGAGCCAGCTTCCAAGTGCAGAAATTTCCTTTCTAGGCAAGTTATTTAAAAAACTGCCTACAATGGACTTTTCTGCACGCACTGCTAAAGCATCTGGCCTTGGCAGGGAGACGACGTGGGAGGAGGAGGCTGGGAACCCCTGATGGGGGGGGTTCCCCATCTTTCTCTGCCTCGTGCAGAACTGTAGCTGTCAGAGGTGTCAGGGGAGCCAGCCACCCCAAAAGCAGAGGGTGGGATAACACTCCCAGCTTTCCATACTATTTGCTGGCCCCCCAGTTTGCTGCTAGTTCAGCACAGCCCGACCCCCGCATTGCACTCCAAGAAACCCCCTCTCCAGCAAGTCAAGGTTATCGTGGGAGGAGACCTAGCACAGGCTGCTCTCTATACTCCTCCAGATGCACTGAAGGAGTTCACTGCACTGACCTCCCACCAAGGGCAGCTGTCCAGGGGATTGTCACACTCCTCCTCACACTCTCTAGGGGCAGATATGGTCCTGATTCCCTCCTCAGCACTTAGGAAACCTGCAGGCACCTTCTCCCTTCAATACATCTAGCCCTAGGGATAAATTATCCTCCTCAGACCAGGAGGCAAGAGTGGGAATTTGCTGAATTCTCCTCCCACCGCCCACTTCCAGGCTAGCTTATCCTCTAAGCATTGTGTTTGCTGGTCTCTGCTGCTCAGGGGAGGAGGGGGAATTCTGGTTCCTGTTCATCGGGATGGGGACATGAGGGGAACCCTGTTCTGAGTTTTGGCACCTGGGTGCCATCCCCAAACTGCTGACCTGGGTGTCAGGTGTCCCCACCTCTTCCCTGGCCGTTGAGATGAGCCAGGGCAGAGCAAGGAAGAGCCTTTCTGAGCTGAGGTGAATAATGCCCGGCCAAAGCCAGGCCTTGCTGGCCATGGGCTGAGCCTGCTTGCACCGGGGCAGGGCGGACACCACTCTGCCCTCCTCTTCCTCCTCCTCCTCTGAACAACCCAGGGCCCGAAGACCTTTCTCCCCCGGTCAGGGTGCAGCCTGGAAGGCGGCGCGGAGGGAGGATGAAAGTGGAGGGAGGATGAAAGCTCCTGCACCGATGGGAATATTGAATCCGGCGAAGTGGAGGTGCAGGCTGGGTGGTGCTCCAGCCCCGCGAGGGGCAGGCAGGGACGCGGGCGTATTTAGCCTGTTTCCCTATGGAAACGATGCTCATTCCCACCCGCTCGGCATGTTCATGCGTGGGAGAGTCCCTCCCCCCAGCTGCACTTGAACCCATTGCCCAATCTCGCCACGTTTCCCGGAGGCGCAGGCATCGCCCGTATTTGCTCCCTCCACGAGAGAGGGAGGCGAGGAAGGCACTCCCACGGTCCCCGGGAAAGGCTCCCACCGCAGCCCAACCCTTTACGAGCCACCCGAGACGCCCCAGCAGGAACCGGACCCCGGGAAAGCTCCCAGCCGTGCCTCTGCCTTGTCACCCAAGGGGTCACACCTGGGGGAGAGAAAATCCGCCACCATGCCCTTGGCGAAGGTCCCTGCCCTAAATCCCGACCCCGGGACACCGCGGGAGCACAACCCGGGGGTGCGCGGGGTGAGGGGGCAGGACGGAGGTGGGCGGAGGTGTCCGCGAGAGCCCGGCGGGAGATGCTGCGTGCGCCGGGGGACAGAGAAAGGCCGGGGAAGGGGGCTGAGCTGGGGGCTGTCAACCTGCAAAGAGCAAGGGCGGAGGGAGGGTTCCCCAAAACGCCGGCAGAGCGCAGCGCGCTGTCACCGGGGTCGGCAAGCCGCTACCCGGGGTGGGGACGATGCGGTGACCCCAGAGTAGGACGGCCAGTCCCCGGGGGTGGCCCCGGTACCGCGGGACTCACCAGCTCGAGGCGGAGCGTCCGCAGGCGTTCGGCGAGCGGCGAGCGCTCGCCGCGGGCCGGCGCGGGCGGCGCGGGCGGCGCGGGGGCGGTGTCGGCGCGCAGCCCCCGCAGCAGCACGGCGGGCGGGCGCCGTCCCACCTTGCCCGCCAGGTCCCGCAGGTCGGCGGGCAGCGCCTCCCCGCCGCCCTCCATGCGCGGGTGGGGCGGTGGCGGCCGCGCTGTCACCGCGGCCCGCGCGCGGCCACGCCCCGCCCGCCGGGGGCACGCCCATTGCCACGCCCCCTCCCCGTGCCACGCCCCCTCCGCCCGCGCAACCACCGAGGGGCCGCCGGGGCGGGCAGAGCGGCGCGCGGGGGGCGGGGCTAACGCGGGACACGCCCACGCGGTGTCGCTGCGGCGCCGGAAGCGGCGCGGAGGGTGCGCGGGGCGGCGGCGCCTCTGCGACCGGACCGGACCGGACCGGCCCAGCCAAACCCGGCCCAGCCCGGCCCAGCCCGGCCCAGCCCAGCCCAGTCCGGCCCAGCCCTGCCCGGCCCTGCCCGGCCCCGCCTCAGCCTCCCCGCGCGGACCGTGAGTAGCGCGGCCGGCACACACACATACACACACACACACACGCTGCGGCCCCCCCCGGGCTCTCCTTGTCGCCCTCCCGGCTCTCCCTCCCCGCCCAGAGCTCCTCGGTGCCCCTCGCTACCCCCCTCCCCCCAGAGCCTCTGGGCCCCCGCCCCGGGCGGCTGCGGTGCCTCCAGCTCGTCGCTGGTGCTCCTGGGGGACGCTGTGCTCCGGCCGGGTCTCTGGCTCCCCCGGGGCTCTGCGTCCCCCCCGGGCCCGGCTGCTCCCCGCGAGGCTTGGCCTCCCCTGGGCACGGCCCCTCTGCCCCAGGGTGCTGGGGCTCCAGCAGGGCATTCCTGGCGCTGCTCCCCGCGCCCGGGCTGTGCGTGGGGAGGGTGCATCTCTGCACAGGCACATGCGACCAGTGGCGGCCCCTCCATCGCTCCTGCGGGTCCGGGGCCTGTCGCCAGCTCCTGCCTTTGGGCAGCTTTTTTTTCCCGGAGCAAGGAAGTGGGCCCAGCAGCCTCCAGGTTGGCCTGGAGCAGGGGCTGTCACCGGCACACGGGTTCAGGGGCTTCCCATCGCCCTGCTCACAGTCTTGGCCTCCTGCATCACTCCCGGTGGGAGTGCTGGCAGGCAGGGAGGCTTCCAGGGGCTTTTAGTCAGTGCTGTTCGTGGGCACTGCTGTGCCAGGCGCTGCCTTTGCCAGGGAGGAGTTTTGAAAATACTCCCCTCCTTCACCCTGCACCCATCCCACCCTGGCAGGGAGCCCCGATGGACACGGGAGTGGAGCAGCACACATCCTGACCCCTGCCCCCGTGCCAGCCCCCGGGACCATGGAGGAGTGGAAGCCCAACCCCGCCGTGAAGCCCCACAAGAAGCGGAGCTGGTACCTGGCCTGGAAGTACAAGCTGATGAACCAGCGCGCGCTGCGGAAGCTGTGCCAGGTGAGTCACCCGCAGACCTCTGGGGGATTAGGAGGGATAATCCACGGGATTTACGAATTTATGAAGCAGCTCCATGGCTGGAAGTGGGTCTGCTGGCAGTGTGGGTGACCTGACATGCTGGGGAAACGAAGCTTGCTCCCCAGCTTGCTCCCTCCAATGCCTTTGTGTGGAAGGGCCTGCCGTGTCTGGCACCTCCTTTCAGCTGCAAAGGGACCTGTTGAGTGGCTATGGGAGGAGACACAATTATCCAGGTGGCCTTGGGAGTCTTTCAGCTAGAAACCTGGCTGATTCCTCCCCTCCTGGCTCTGGACCCAGTGCTGCAGGGCTCAGCCTGTAGAGGGAAACCATTCTTGCCTGTTTGGTTTGCAAACCAAGCGTGGCGTAGGGCATGACAGGTGGACAGAGAAAATAGGGCTTTGTAACAGGATCTCATGCCCCAGAGGCAGCTGGCGTCTGGGAAAGCTGCAGGCTTGGTTGCTTGTGCTAATCCTTGGCAGAGACAGGGTCCTAGAGGGTGTCTGGGGTTGTAAGGAATGGTTTGGCCCCATGGCAGCAAACAGCAGAAAAGGTGCCTTTCCTGAGAGAAGCTCATAAAATCTGGCAGTTGGTTGCTGTGGGAGGGAGCAGGGGAGGGTTTTGCACGTGCCTGGGAGGATGAAGGCTGGGGAAGGAGATTGCTCAGTTCTGTGTCTGATGGGATGTTCAAGGCTTGGGAATGGGTCTGGTCATTCAGGCAGATTTTGCTCACTATGCTGGGGCAACGGGCTAGAGCCTGCCTGCTGTCATCTCTGTCTTTTGTGGCACTGCTGTGGCTTAAAAAACAAATGAAAATTGGGCTTAGAATAGGTAAACCCAGGGATTCGGGTATGGAGCAGCCGGGTCTGCAGCATCTGAGTCTCCATCAGCAGCTCTGGCTGGGTCAGCCTTGCTAGACCGGGCTGCTGGTCTTGCTTAGTGCTGACTTATTCCCTCTGGTCACTGGGGTGCTCCCTCACATCCCCAGCACTGAGCAGGGTGAAGATCTGGGCAGGTTGGGAAGGTGGCCTTCCTGCCTCGCTGCAAGCCCACAGCTCTTTTCTTGCCTAATTAAAAGCTTTCTGTGCACAGATCCCAAAAGGTGCTCATGCTCCTGAGTCAACAGCCAATTAACAAGCCAAAATGCCATAGTGACATTTATATCATCGTGTTGTGTTATTGCTGGTTTTCCATTTTCCCCAGTTGCTCCTTGAACCTGTTTGGCTGCTTGGCAGTGAGAGCAGCAACATGTAGTTTTGAGGCAGTAGCTGGACAGACAGGGCAGGAATCCTTTTAGTGCCTCTCACCAAGGGCAGGCCTGGGTGTGATCCCAACCCCACACCAGACTGCAGAGAATCAAGGGTCCTAGAGCTGAAAAAGCACAAATTTCTAGGAAGAAAGCTGTTGTGGGGCTGAGGGGCAAGGGAAGAGTCTCAAAACCACCCAAAACCTGACTGAGCACCCCTTGCCAGGGGACCAAGTTATGAGCAGCCTCCACCAACTTCTCCCCTCCTCTCTCTTGGTTGCTGTGACATCTCCATGCTGAGCCTTGGGATGCTCCAGGGAGGTTGGTAGGACCCTGAGCTTGCATGGCTGAAACTGGAAACCACCTGGTACATCCAAAGCAGGGCTGGGCCAAGGGGCCAGAGCTTTTGGGCCATGGGGTGAATCTGTCAGCAACACATATCAGTCACATTTGGGCCTCTGTAGGGGCTCCCTTGTGAGCTGGACAGACCCTTGTGGCATGGAGGCTGTTGGTGGAGCCCTGCAGCAGTGTTGACTTTAAGGGTAACAGCTGCTCAGGACTTTGTGTCTTTAATCCAATGGCAAAGCCTTCCCTCGCTTCTTGACTGTCCAGGACAGCTTTTGGGCTCCCTGCTGGAGCTGTTCCCCAGCCCTAGGGCAGACTGTAGCTACTGGTCAGGGCCTTTGTCCCCATGCAGAGCCCTGTGGCCACCCACCATGTGCTACTGTCACCTTTCCACCACAAATCAGCACCTGGGCCCTGGGTTACAAAGCTCCCTGGCTCAAGTAAAGACAAATTGTTTCAGCTGAGGTCTGACCTTTCAGTCCTGCATCCCAGCCCAGCATTGCAGCCATAAGACCATCCTCTTGGCTGTGGCCAGACCTGCTCTTGCAGAAGGTAGATTATTTCCCAGCGTGAGATGTTTGTGGTCCAGGTATTCCTGTGTGGCTCCGTCTCAACAGGGTCCCTGTTAGGGTGGAGCAGTTTCTGCTTTACACTGGGTCCAAATACCAGGAAAAAGGCTGACATTGAGGAAGAGAGGAGCAAGATGCATTTAAGTAAAAACAGGTGCTTGTAGAAGTGGTGTAGTCTTTTGCACCTCCTCTTGGTCTGAGAACAACAAGGCCATGGGCAATGGTGATGGTCACAACAGGGGTTCTTATGAACTGTTCCACAGCCCCTGGACTTTCCCACAGCCCTCTGTGTCAGCAACCACGTGGGTTGCATTGGAGTTTGCTGCAGATAGTAAAGCTGTGGGCTGTTCTCTGCAGCCTGTGGTACAGTGCTCTTTCCTGAAAGCAGACCTCAGCTTCTTCCCTTTGGTTGTTTTAGCTGCACAGCATCTCCTCTCCTCTGAATACCCGGCGTGCATCCTCTCGTCGCAGGGGGACAGATGACAGTAGTGATGCTGCAGGAGAGGCAGAAGTTAAGGTTATCCTGGGAGTTGTATCTCTGAATTACCAAACTCTTTGCCTGCAGGGGTCCTCAAACTTGATGTAATATTTTAACAGGAATCTGCTCACAGATCTGGAAGCAGGGATATGTTGGAAGTGGGTTAATTCTCACCTAACTAGAAGGTAGTGCTCTCCAGCTGATGAATGCCTTTCACCATAACACTCGGTCACCTGTATTTTTTTCTCTTTGCTTTCCCCAGAAGAAAACAGGGGAATTGACAGATGCTTGTGATCCCTTGCAACATCTCCTTGGGGTGCCCTGCAGCCCCTGCCAAAGTGGGTTGTTACTTACAAATTGCTAACACAAAGCGTCCTGCATTGCAGACAGGTGCTGTCCTCTTCCTGCTTGTGACTGTGATCGTGAACATCAAGCTGATCTTGGATACCAGGAGAGCTGCTTATGAGGAGGAAGAGGAGTCTGCACAGGACTACGGTGAGCGGCAGCATCCTATTGTGCTTTGGAAGCAAGGAAACTGGAGGGAGGGAAGTAATTTCTTAAAGTGAGGGCTAATTTGTGACCAGCTACAACACAAAAGATAGATCTGTGCATGTGGGTTTAATAAAAATTAATAGAAAACTTTGTCCTCCTTACCAGTCTGTCTTTGGGAGGCTTTGGCACATTTGGCTGTAGGGATCTGTGTGGGGATAGACCTGTTGCCATTTTGTGTTTTCCCAGTGCCTGCCATCCCTCCCATGGCTACTTGGGCTGGGATGCCTGGTGGGCATGACCTTCTGGAGGCCTGGCTGGGCTGAGCAGGGGCAAGACTGGTTGAAACTGGGCATTTCTCCGCTGTAGATGATGAGATGCTGAACGTGGAGGTCCCCAGGCACCCTGTCAACAACAAGAAGGTCCTGGATGTCGAGGTGTATTCCAGCCGGTCCAAGGTCTACGTGGCTGTGGATGGGACAACGGTAAGGGACGGGAGTGCTGTCCCTGTGTGCAGGGGGTGAATAAAGCTGAACAGGTGAAGCTGCAAACAGCAGTGGTGAGAGCAGCTCAGTGGCAAGGAGGTTAGGAGTGGATCCCC